CGCATTGTCTTACACATGAGCTCTTGGGGAACACCTCCTATCTAATCCATAACAGAAATGTTCTGCATCTCTGCATGTCCAATATGGTACCAACTAGTCACAGGAGGCCACCAAGTACTTGAAACACAGCCAGTGAAAGTGAGCTGGCTTGTTCATTTCATTTAATGTAATTAATTTCAATTTCAGTAGCCACAGGTGGTTAGTGCTACTGTATCTGACAACCCAGCTTTAGAGTATTACTATCAAAACAGAACCCAAATTTCAGTGGAAACTGTGAAGACAAATAACAATGATTTTGCTGCACTAAAGTCAGGAAATAATTGCATGAAAATATATAACGATTAATAAATGATGTAGGGGGTGAGGTTATTGCTCATGCTAACACTGCTAGCCCAGCAGCAAATGCGAAAATATACGTCTAAATAGTCAAACTCAATCATCTCTGAACTTGGCCAGACTTCAATCATATAATGGCCGCCATTTATAGAGTGTTCAGTACTATCTCTATAGACACATAATTGTCACAAAAGCAGGACAAAACCCCTTTGGCTGAAAAGCTTGTCAGCTTGGATGTTAACTTGAAATATTCAGGCATATGGAATGTGGGCTTCCACTTGTGCATTTGCTCCAGCCCCACAGATGTTTGAGCAGCTGGTCAGTGAATGAATAAAGGGGCTTGGCGTACTGATGGTGTGTTCTGAGAGCCCAGGCGTGGGCAGGTAGAGGACACCAAATCCGAATCTGAAGCCATGTGTCTCACAGGGAGGGAGTTGGTACTGCCATTGGCGTTGGTTGGCATTGGCATGATTCACATGAAAGGCAGAAAAGCAGAGAAGAAACCAATATACCAAAATGGGATCTTACCACTTGGCCTGAGACCTTGGGCAAACCAAACAGGGATTAAACAAAAGAAAGAAAGAACAATATCTACTCATTGGATTGCTGGAAAAATTAAATGAGATGATGTTGGAAAGTGCCTAGCACACAGTCAGGGCCCATTTTCCCCTACTCCAGGAAACCCTGTGCAGGGCCCTCGGCAATAACCCCAGCAAGATAGGAGTGATGAACTTCACCTCCCCATCACCTGCTCTCTGCACACACAAAAAACCAATGGAGCCGGGTGTGATGGTGACCACCTATAATCCCAGGAGTTTAGGAGGCTGAGGCAGGAGGATCGTGAATTCAAAGCCAGCCTCAGCCACACTCTAAGCAACTCAGCGAGCCCCTGTCTCAAAATAAAATATTAAAAAGGGCTGGGGATGTGGCTCAGTGGTTAAGCGACCCTGGGTTCAACCTCTGGTACCAGAAAAAAAAAAAAAGAAAGAAAAAGAAAAGAAAGAAAGAGTCAGAGGTGCTGCAGAGAGGATAGGAACTTGCTTTTTTACAAAATGTCCCAAAGCCTCTCTGGGAAAGGGCAGACTGAAAATAATAATGCTGACATAAACAGCCAGCCCTTTTGAGCACCCAACTGTATACCAGGTGCTGTGCCTCACATAGTGCTGGGGATTGAACCCAGGGCCTTGTGCATGGGAGGCAAGCACTCTACTAGCTGAGCTATAGCCCCAGCCCTCATGTACACTATTTTAATCATCTCTATAAGAACTGTTGGTAGAACCCACTGGCTTCCCAAAGCCAAGGTCCCAGCTGGAATGTGAGTGGGTTTAAGTGGCTTCAAAGGGGCATTTAGGCAGTAAGACAGGAACTGAGTCTACACATGGCCAAACAGGGCCACTCTGGGCCTTAAGGACCCTCCTCACAGCCCACAGATGAGCAAGGCCATACAGCCAGGGCAAACTTGAAGCATGAGCTCCCAGCCCCCTCCCACAAGAGCCCCTCCATGCAAACAGCTGGACCTTTGCCTTGACCTTTGCCTCTCTGGCCTTGGGAGGTACTGCAAGCCCCAGGGTGGAAATTCCACAGCAGGGGCCGTTCACATTAGGGCCCGTTTGACCTGGTCAGTGTCCACTGGGCAGAAAGTGAGCTTGGGAACCACAGGCCTTGGCTAGTACTGCCTGGAACTGACAATGGATCGAGTATGCTCCACTCAAGTCCTCCTGAACACTGCTCCAGGGACGTCTTGGGTGGCATCATTTACAGAAGTGGAATCCAAGAAACACTCAAATGTCCAAAAGTAGGAAATAATAAAGATGGACTAGTAGGCACACATTAAACTGAGGTTGTGAATAATTATTAAAGACAAAACAGGATTACAGCAGGTCAGAAATTTTAAATTAGAGCTTGGTATCATGGCCACACACCTGTAATTCCAGCAGCTCAGGAGAACGAGGCAGGAGGATCACAATTTCGAGGCTAGCCTCAGCAACTTAGAAAAACCCTAAGCAAAGTTAGTGAGACCCTGTTTCTAAATAAAAAATTTTTATAAAGGTGGGGGATGCAGGGGCTGGGGTTGTAGCTCAGTGGTAGAGCGCTCGCCTAGCACATGTGAGGCACTGGGTTTGATCCGCAGCACCACATAAAAATAAATAAACAAAATAAAGGTATTGTGTCCACCTACAACTAAAAAATAAATATATTAAATAAATTAAATTAAATTAATTTACTTGTAGATGTATTAATCTACAAGTAAAAAAAAAAAATTAAGGGGCTGGGGATGTGGCTCAGAGGTTAAGTGTCCCTGGGTTCAATCCCTGGTTAAAAAAAAAAGAAAAGAAAAAGAAAACTTTTAAATTAGGCTACAATGCATTATATAGAGTATCAACTATTTTTTTTTCAAAGTATAAGAAAAAAAGACTAGGAAAAAAACATGACAAAACATTAATAGTAACAATCTAATGATGAGGAATTAAAGGTGACCATTGCAGACCTATTTTAAATTATATAAAATTATTTTCCAAGGAGCACATACTACCATCACAGAAGGACCATAAGTTGTTTAAGTAACTACCCCTATTTAAAGTCACACGGCATATGCAACAGAGGGGACTGACATCTCCAGAGGTCAATTCACTCGTCCAACCTCACACAGCCAGTATTTGTTCAACAGACTTTTCTGGTACCTACTCAGATGCCCGGTGCTGTGTGGTGGGCATGCTCCTTGAGACCTCATGAATAAGTCTCCCCCAGGGGATGTGAGCAGTGTACTACTTATAGGGCTCCAAAAAATCCAGCTTGGTTTTCCTCCCAAGTCAATAAATACATCATTGCCAGGACCCAGAAGCACGCCCTGTGCCCTCCCTAACCCCAACCTTGTCTTCGTCCATTTTTTGTTGCTGTAACAAAACACTAGAGACCCGGTGACTTGGAAAGAATGGAGATTCACTTTGGCTCATGGACCTAGAGTCTGGGAAGTCTGAGAACCAGCATCTGGTTGGCTTCATCCCATGGCAGGAAGTGCCAGGGCAAGCAGGTGCACGAGGAAGAGGCAAACCAGGAGGGAGAGGCTCCCTCTGGAACAACCTACACTTTGCATGACAAATCCAGTCCCCTGAGAGGGAGAACTTACTCACCAGGGAAACAAAGGTACTAACCCAAGTGCATCATAAATTCTTTCTTTTGGTGGTGGTGGTACTAAGGATCGAACCCAGGACCCCATGCATACTAGAAAAGTGGTCTCATCTCCAGCTCTACCATAGTGGAAATCAAGTCTCAGCATGAGTTTTGGTGGAGTCAAACCACTCCAAGCCATAGCAGACCTCTTCTCTCCCTTCCCACGGGGAACCACAGACTGACCCTTTAGACCCTTTCCTAGGTGCTCTTAAAAATATAGAAAGTTTGCCTGTTTTCAAGTGGTATCTGATTGCATTCTTCTATGTTCTGTTATGTCTGCAAGATCTAGCCACATAGTTGCCTGGAACTGGAGTTTGTTTTTACTGCTGGATTCTTCTCCTGTGTGTGAATTTAGACCACATCCTTTGTCAGCAATGGATGTTGGGGATGTATCCAGGCCTCTCTATGAACAATGCTACTGAGAGGATTCCTGTCCATTTCCTCTGGTATGCACGGGGAGAAATGCAGAAGAGGACCACTGAGTCTTAGGAGGTTCACATGCCAACTCTATGTGACAGTTTCTGATTTCCAAAGTATTTATAATATAAATTTTTAATTATATTTTAATTATTATTTTACTTTTAAATCTTTACTCCATCCAGAAACACCCTTTCTGTATGGTGTGACGTAGGAATCCAGCTTCATTGCCCCCATCTGGATAATCAATTATCTCCAATACCATTGATTCAATACACCATCCTTGCCTAGGTTGATCAGCAATGCCACCTTTGTCAAAGATCAAATGCCTTTACAAGCGTGGACTACACATAGAATAGACTTCTCTATTCTGCTCCATTGGTCAATTTGTCTGGCTCTGCATCAAGACCACACTGTCTCCATTCCAATAGCTTTATGATAAGTATGTTTCTTGAAATAGAAAAGCCATTCTCTCCATAGACGCTATTACTGTGCTATTCAATATGGTGGACATTAGCCACATGTGGTTTTTGGGCACTTGGAATATGCTAGTCCAAGTTCAGATTAGCCATAAGTATAAAATACACATCAGATATTAAAAACATGGTGAAAAATGCAAAAATTTTAATGAATTATATGTTCACATGGATCACACGTTGAAATCATAATGCTCTGCATATGAAGACTTAACTACACTGCTGGCCTAATATTATATCTTATTGTCCTAAGAAAATTTTAAATTACATCTGTGGCTCGTATATTTCTAATGGGCAGACCTGGGTTCTACCATTAAACTCATTCAATCAAGAAGCATTCATTAAGGGCTCATAAGGGCTGCACAGTGAGGAAGGGAACGGAAATAGATCTAATCAATGTAATCCATTTCCTCAGGGGACCCATCAGAGACACTACATCAGCCCAAGAATAAAAGGAGCCCCTGATCCAGCTCCTGCCCCAGCTGGAGAGCCCCATTCCAGAGGCTGCAACACTGGAGCTCAAATCTAGAGATTATTTGGACCAACCCTCCTGTCTTTACAGATGAACCAATTAAGGAACAGAAAGGCTGAAACACCTACCTGAGATCACACAGCAGGTGAGCGCCCACTGCACAGGGTTCAGAGCTCCTTCCCTGAGTATTTGCATCTTTGGCCTTGACCCTGGGCTTCTTCCTTCTCTTCTCTTCCTTATCAACTATTGCCTCAAGCCAACACTCAGAACCCTTGAGAACAAGCCTTTGGAAGTTCCAAGTACCCACTACAGAGAAGTGGGCACTTCACTATCTGGTCAAGAGAAAATCCCCAAGAATCACTGTCAAGTTGTACTCAGGCACATCGCCTTTCCCAGAGGGACTCCGGCTCCAAGAGGAACTGGAGACTGAGATGGAGGGGGAAGGGCTCACTCCTGTCCTTCAGCCTGCCCTACCCTTAACAGACCCTGGGTCTCTAAGCTCAAGTTATGCTGTTTGACTGGAACTTGTAGGGACTTCATGAGCACTAGGAGCTCTGGACACCCGCGGGGAGGTAATGAGCCACGCTGATATGAATGTGGAAAATGATGCCAATCTATCTCAAATGTACCACGGACTGGGGCTTGCACCTGCCCCCTGCCCAGGAAGATCCAGATCCAAGCCCAGGAAGGGTGAAAGGTGACCAGGCAGGGCAGGTAGGGTGCTCCCTCCACAGAGCTCCAGGGGGCTGCCCCACCAGATCAGCCAGTGTCCCTAAAGACCGCTGGAGACTGCCAGGGACTTCAGGAGAGGTTTTCTATGTCAGCTTTCAGGCAAGCAGGGCCCCAATAAAAAAATCACTGATAAATTTAATCATTGTAACTCTTGCCCCTTATCTGGGAGTCCGGACAGCTGGAGCCTGACTACCGCTCAGCAGTCTGTGGCAGTATCTGTCATGACCATTTTACGAAAGAAACCGAAGCTCAGAGGGGACCCGGAGATTGACACCGTGAAAAGACCAGGATATGCAATCAGCTCCTCCTGGGTCCTGAGTCTCAGTTTCCCCCATCTGGAAAGAGCACTTACCCATTCCTCCACCTCGCTGTGCGGGTGGACAGATGGGGGATAAGTGCACAGAGGTGACGTGCAAGCACCCTTCATCGTTAACAGCAGCGCTGGGTAGAGATCGAGCAATTCCTCGGTCTCTACCCAGCAATTCCTCGGCCCCAGGCGCAGTGCTGAGTGCTTTCCAAGGATCATCTCAATTAATCCTCACGGGGGCCCTAGCGATGGGGACTCTCATGATCCCCTTTTTGCAAATGTGTACAGATGAGAGATGAAGCGACTCGCCAAAGGGTACCCAGCTAAGAGAGAAAGAGCCGGGAATCCAAGCTGTTCCCGAGTCCAGAGCGCAAAATAGCAAATACCATTCATTTAGGAAGTCGATGCTGTACCGTTTCTGATTTTTTTGCCCCCCCCCCCCTGGCCGGGCCAGGGGTTCATCCATCAACTCCAATTCTCCGGGCAGCGGGCGACGGGAGCGCGGCGGCCCCAGCGCCCGGAGGCGGCCGCCCCCGCCCCCGCGCCTCGCGCGGCTCACCTCGCGTATTTCGTCTTTTGGAAATCCAGCAGCCTGGGAGCAAACATCGCGGCGGTTCCATCAGCACCCAGCCCTGGGCTTCGACACTGGGAACTTGGCGGGCCGCGGGGGAGGCTCGGGGCGCGGGTGCAGCAGGTGGGAGCGCGCGGGCCCGGGGCGCACGGGGGCCGAGCAGACCCGGTCGGTGCCCGGAGCCCGAGCCGGAGCTCAAGCCGGAGCCGAGCCGGAGCAAGAGGCGCCCGGAGCCGCCGCCGCCGCCGCCAAATCCCGAGCAGATGGTGGCGGGGGCGGGGGCGGGGGGGCTCCAGGCGCGCGCCACCAATCGCTTGGCCCGGGCGGCCCCCTCTCTCCCGCCCTCGCTGGGAGCTGGGGGTGGCACGGGACCGGGGCCCTAATCCAGCCTCTTTTTCCGAGACCCCTCCACTGGTAGTTTATCAAGCGAACAGAAGACCGCCTGGACTAGACGAAGCCACCCTAACCCAGCCGGCAGGGGCTGGGCAAGAAACAAGAGGGGACACTGCCCACACGTCCGCCATTCGGCCCTGGGGTGGCCGCCTGGTCTACTTGTGGCTCATGATTCCCCCCGCCGGCGCCTCCCCTTTGCACCCCTGAGAGGCGCGACAGCACCATAGGATCCGCCCAGGAATGGCCACGATCTCCAGGAGCCCTCTTCACCCAGGACAGTGTGACTCTGGGGACCTTCTTTACCCTGAGACAGGGATATCGGCCTTTGGTTGCAGGATTCCAATATTCCCAGGATCTGCCCCTCAGCCCCACTCCCAGATCTTCTACAAAATCCAACTTTCTCCTTGAGGGGCCCTTGTGGGGGTTGTGGGCTCTGGGAGACCAGTCATCTGATGGTAGGTTTGACACCCTTGGGGGCTGCTGGAGGCGAGGTGGCCTTCCATGTGGAAGAAATGTCAACACCACCTGGGGGACACAAGGACTGGTTCCCAAATTGAAGGGAAGGCCTATCCCCCCCCACACACACACACCTTCCATCTCCACCCCTTCTTCCCGAGTTCCAACTGACTGTTCCTTTTTATATCAATGCTTTGTTCGAGATCCTACTGCACTCTGGGAGGATAATCCCACCTGCACCCAACCCCCTTAAGGAACTAGAAAAAGAAACAAAGAGACACAAGTACTCCACCAAATTCATCTCTGCATTCCAAAAGCTGGGCCCAAGGGTGGACACACACATCTATCAAGTGGATGCATTCAGAGAGCACTGCAGGGTAGGGGGTAGAGGGGCCTGGGGAGGTGCTAGAAGTGAGGACAGAGAAGGGATCCAGGGATCTTTAGGGGGCAAGACCCAGAAGCCCTGATGATAGGTTAGGAGATGGGAGCAGAGAAGTCAGGGATGACCCCTGAGGTTTGGGCTGGCCCTATTAGGTGAGACGTGGTACCACTTGGCCTGCACTGGGGAGACCAGAGGAGGAGCAATAGGGAGTGGGAGGAAAGATTTCGAACTGGGTTTTGGCCAAGTGAGCTTGAGGTCAATGTTGGCTTGAAACAAAGTGTAAGGCTGGTGCAGGCCAGAGGAGCAGGAAGGACAGGACATCCACCAGTGTGGTGTCTGCCTGGGATGGTGACAGGAGGGTTGGGGAGGCCCAAGCTGGAGGGCTCCCCAGGTTTCAACTTGTTCATCTCCACTAAGTAGACTTCCAATACAGTAGCCACCAGCCTTATGTGACTATTTGCATTGACATTAAGTAGAATTAAGTAATAATTCAGCCACTTGAGAGGCTGAAGCAGGAGGATCACAGGTTCAAGGCCAGCCTTGGCAACTTAGTGAGACCATATATCAGAAAAGGGGGGGGCCTGAGGATGTAGCCAGTGGTAGAGTACTCCCCCGAGTTCAATCCCCAGTACTTCAAAATAAATTAAAAATGCAGTTCCTTGGCCTTATAAGTTAGGTGTGGCCAGTGGCTACCCTATAGGATCCTTTGCAAAAATGTAGAAAGTTCTAGGGGCTAGCAATGTACTTACTATCATGGCATCCACTTAGTGGGTAGTAGCAGCATTTCAAAGGCAGATGAGACAGGAGAAGCAACTGGAAGGTATTTGCACATGTTGGGAGAAGGCAAGTCCATGACACTTCTGGTTGGTTGTGTGTCCCAGTTGGGATGGAGAAGAATTTCTTAGTGTAAGTTATGGTTAAAAATGAATGAACCTTGGGCTGGGGATGTGGCTCAAGCGGTAGCGCGCTCACCTGGTATGCGTGCGGCCCAGGTTCGATTCTCAGCACCACATACAAACAAAGATGTTGTGTCCACTGAAAAAACTAAAAAATAAATACTGAAATTCATTCTCTCTCTCTCTCTCTCTCTCTCTCTCTCTCTCTCTCTCAAATGAATGAACCATTGCTCGGTGGTCAGTGCCTCCCCTCCCCTCTTACGGAAGAGGGAAAAACAGGTCTAGGGGGCCAGAGATCTTTCCAAGAGCATGTGATCCATGGGGACAGGGACTGTGCAGGGGCCCCATTCTCTGAACTCTGAGCTCATTGCCCAACACACAGCTTTCATAAACTAATGATTTCTCAGGGCTCTGGGAGTTGAAATGCAAGTCCTGCATTTCTCTGCTCCCCAACCCAATCCTGCAGAACCAGGCCTCACTCATTGCACTCCTATCACCTGTCCCCAGGTACCAAATACACCTTGGCCCCATCCCTCAACCTCAGCTCCCAGAAAGGTCTATGCTGGCTTTGCAAAGGTGGAAGGCCCACAATGTTTCCTCCAAGGTCCCCTGTCTTACTGGGAAGGCCAGGCCAGGCTCCAGATGGTCACTGGTAGCTATGGCTCCCAACAGGCTAAGACAGGACAGCCCTGATTCTCACAGTCTCCTCCTGGTCCCCAGCTAACATCCACCTGCAAGCAGGTTGGCAGTGAGCCCCACAGGGCCCCAGAGGAGACCCCTGAAATGAAATACAAGCCTAGAAATGGATTTTCTTCTCCATGAGCTAAAGAAGTTGAATAAAAAATAAGTTACTATTTTTACTGCCAGGATCCAGTTGTTATGGCAACAGAGGGCCTGACTTCTGCACCAGAGTCTGGGTTGGACTATGTCTGAGGGAGGAGACAGATGGAGGTGGCTGGAGGACAAGCCTCAAGGCCAAGGCCTGTCCCCCAATAAGTCCACTCACCCACCAGCTACCTGGAGGTCATTCCTGATGATTTTATTTCCCTTTGACCAAAGACAGCTTCTGCCAGCTCTGTGGTCTCAGACTTGACCCTGAAGCCTCTCCTTTCCACTCCTGGGAATGAGCCAAATAGATCATCCCCCTCCGCCTTGCCTGGCCCAGACAACCCCTCCCTGCTCTTCCAGGAGGTACCACACCCACCCAGCTGGGCCATGGCGGACCATGGCCAAAATCTCCGCAGGTGGCCTTACCTGGGTTCAAGGCTTGGCCCTACCACATACCTTTGTGTCCAAGACCAAGTACCTGACACTTGAGTCTCAGTTTCTCCATTTGTAATTAAAAGGTGACAGTACTCACCCTGCCAGGATACTGGAGAGGCAAAGGACAGCAGGACACAACATTGTTACTCAAGCTGGGCACAGTGATGCCGGCCTGTAATCCCAGGGATTTGGGAGACTGAGGCAGGAGGATCCCAAGTTCAAGGCCAACCTCAGCAATTTAGGGAGCCTTAAGCAACTTAGGTCGACCCTATCTCAAAATAATAAAGATAAAAAGGGCTGGGGATGTGGCTCAGTGATGTGGCTTCAATTCCTAGTACCAAAGACAAACACAAAGGCAAAAGCATTGTTAACTCAAAGCTCATTGTTGGTCTGGGGATATAGCTCAGCTGTAGAGCGTTTGCTGAGCATGCACAAGGCCCTAGGTGTGGTCCCTACTAAAACACACCTCCCCACACACACACCCACACACACATACACATACACTATATAACTATTTCTCCTCAAACCCTCTCT